GTATCCACTGGGACGCACTCCCGTGCGCTTCCTCTGGGTCGTGCTCCGGCACGTATAAACTGGGACGCACTCCCGTGCGTTTCCTCTGTGTCGTGCTCCGGCACGTATCCAGTGGGACGCTGCACAGTACGATCTACATTCGTTGTTTTGAATCAGGAAACTATGCCCTTTGTTCAATTTCGTGTTCGGACGCCGATGCCTTGGACGAAGACGAGGCCATCGTCGTCGTCGCCGCCGCCGCCGTCGCCGCCACCGTAGCCTTTTTCGAGGCCCGGAGCCTGCGGGAGTCGATATGGCAGGCATTTTCGCTTGAGACATCCTCGCAACTCTGGGTTCCGACACGCCCTGGGGCGAGGTGTTCAGGCAGCTCTCGCTTGAGATATCCTCGCAACTCTGATCTCGGAAGTGCCGTGCCCCATGGTGGCCCAGCCACTTTCGCCTGAGACATCCTCGCAACTTTGAGTTCCGAAACGCCCTGAAGTGAAGTGTTCAAGCCACTGCCGCCTGAGACATCCTCGCAACGTACCGCGGCCGGGTACCGACCGATGGTGACTGCGGCGCGCGAGGAGAGACACTCCTGGGCGAAGCTGCAGGAAGACCGCCTCCAGGGCGCCGGCGACGAGGATGACGCGGGCGTCGACGACGGCGCGGCCGAGAGCGCCGGCGGCCTGGGCACCGACCCCCCTGCGGCAAGTTTCGACCGAAGCGTGCACTCCACGCCCAGCGCGCATATCGCCCAACTGGTCGCTAATTTGCCGGAGGACCAGAGACTCACGCGGGACCAGACGCTCTTCGTCGCCAAGTTCGCCAAGGCCTGCGACGAAGCCTGGTACGACGACGTGCAGAAGAAGCCCTGGAGCGAGAGAAAGGTGACGCACTTGCTCCTGCTGGGCCAGGGCGGCTCGGGGAAGACGCACGTCGTGCAGAAGATAGTCTTCCCAGTGGTGGGATACGCGTGGCCCTCGCCGGCGCCGGACAGGGCCAGCATGACGGTCGTGGCTTTCTCGAACGCGCAGGCGAAGAACATCTCCACCGAGACTGTCAAAGCCAGAACGCTGCACAATGCCTGTGCCATGCGAGTTCAGAAGTACACCAACGCGAAGCTGCGGCCGGGGGGCATGCAGAAGAGGCTGAAGTGGTTGTGGCAGCACGTCCGCGTTCTTGTCATCGAGGAGATAAGCACGGTGGCAGCCGCGCTGCACAACGCGCTGGACCTTCGCGCCTGCCATGGACGCAGCGACACGCACGACGTGCAGGAGTCGAACTACCAGCGGCCACACCACCACCTCGGGCGCGCGCCCATCGCGTTGCACCTCGGCGATTTCCTGCAGCTGAAGCCCACCGGCAGCATTGGCCTCCTGACGGACGTGAACGAGCGCCTGGACGACGACGAGTCGCACAGGTACGCGGACCCGCCGACGAACGAGATCCAGCACGCCATCAAGGTCTGCTCTCAGATCCCCTGCGTCTTCGAGCTGAAGGGCACGAAGCGCTTCGAGCCTGGGGACCCGCTGATCACGTTCCTGGGCTGCATGCGCGAAGGCAAGCCCTTCCCACCGGAGGTCTGGTCCGCCGGGGAGAAGACGTTGGCCACGGACAACCGCGGCGTCCTGGACCCTCGGCACCTTCACGGGAACTTTCGGCTCGGCTACGGCATGGGCATCTACTGGGAAACGCTTGCGAGGTGGATGAACACGCGTGCGTCGCGACGCTCGGCGTCTGGGCGTGCCCCTCGTTTTCCTGCAGGCCGTTGACGAGCGCGGCGCGATTCGGGGCGATCCCGACGCGGGTCGGCGTCTCCTGAACGTCCCGAACATGCACAAGACGGGGGAACATCCACGGCGTCTTGCCGGCCCACGTCGGCATGGATGTGCGGTTCACGGCAGCGCAGGAAGAGCTGAAGAAGAAGTTGGGGCTCGCGCAGGAGCAACGGGCCACCATCGCGTCTTTCGAGTCCCACCGCGAGGACGAGCAGCGGCACGAGGGGTGCTCGGCAGGCCAGCTCTTTCGCCCCCGCTTCCTACCGCAGGGAATCTGGCTGCAGGTGCACGGCTTCAAGGAGTCCCCGATCTACCAGGAGGTCGCCGAGGTGCTGCGACAGGGCGCCGAAGACGCCGGCGACGACGGCCAGGCCCAGGCGCGGGCGCGGAGCTTGCTGATGTTCAGGCCCAGCGAAAGGGAGCTCACATGGCAGAGCTCGGGGGCGCACAGCGCGCGCCGCTCGGGGTTCACCCTGACGCACGCGCCCTACCTGACCTCCACGCTGTCGCAGGGCCAGACGCTGCGCAAGGGCGTCACCATCGACTGCGCGAGAGACGAGGACGCTGGCCGCACGGGCATGTCGGACGAGCAGTGGCGGCTGCACCTCTACGTCATGCTCTCCCGCGCCACATGCACGCGGAACACGCTGATCCTGCGGCCGCCGCCGCGGGAGTTCCTGGGGCGAGGGCCGCCGGCGCCCCTGCGGAAGGCGCTCCTGGAGTT